GGTGACAGGTTTGCAACGCTCAACACTGTCGTTCAACAGTCTTGTGAGTGATGCTGTGGCCATTGATTTGTGCTACAACGAAAGTTCACTCTTTCTGTTGATTAATGCTCGGCGAATCGTGTTTTCCCTATCCTTTGAATTTGTCCAGGGTTTTACTGTGATAGAGGAGCAGTGCGACACTATTTGGCTTAGTATTGTCGATTTACCAATTGTACCGCTTCCTGTCAGTTGTCACAACATGTTGCGACATGGTTCGGATGACAGCACCTAAGTTCAAACATCACAACCACAAAATGGAGACGCTGATTACTGGTCTTACATCACGAAACCGTCAGACAGTGATGGTCACGTGACTGTTCAGACTATAGCCAACTGTGGGACGCGTCGTGAGGTGTGACTTGAATTTCATTGGCTAATTTGCCATAGGCCCGGACGGGAATGCGTCAGGTCCTTCGTTGAGGGTTCAGTCATTGGTCTAACAGCTCACTTGTGGTGCAAATGATAATGATGAAGCGGAACCCAAACTGACACATCGTAGGCGAATTCCGAACCGCCAGGGAATGATTATATCTAAGAGTGTATATTTGGTTTCTGAGGGTGCATTCAAAGAACCTTGAGTAGCTTGAACGTAAGCTTACTTTAGTTTCTCTCAGGATTTTTTGCTTCTTATCTAGCATTGGACAAAGAAATCAAGCTATGCTCGTCAGCTCTTATCTGTTCAAGAGTGGAGCGATGAATCCTTTGACCTGCAAACGGATCGTCGAATAGGAACATTCATCCGAGCAGGGACTTTTTGGAAGTCATGTGTGGTGAGAGAAACGTCGACACGATGTTTGCGAAGGGTGGCTAACCGTCTGCCGTCATCATTTTTAAGTTTTTTCCTCATGAATAACTCCGAGGAACATTCTCAAATCTCACTAAAAATGCTCACTTTGGGTCTTCTGACACTAAATTCTATATAGACAACTGCAACCGGTCCATACAGAAACTATCCGTCAAACATTAGCCCGGTAAGGGGTGCCAACCTTGGGCACAGTGCAACAAATAGTATTCGTAAGTGAGTGTGTTCCTTCTGAATGCCCAGTAAGTAAACGGGATTAATCTTTGAATCACAGACAAATGGTGAAAAGCAAATAATTCATTTTGATTTCATTTGGCATTATACACCTCGTGATACCAAATACGATGGGTTGAAAGCTGAATTTCTTTGCTAAGAGTTTGCGCAAGAATGACACAGCTTGACAGTGGACAACGAACTATTGTCTCCCAGTGAGGAGCTCCCAACATAGGAGCAACTAAGAATTAGGAATTACAGGTAGGGGAGCATCTGAGACCGACGTCTCGGACAGGAAACAATTCTCACGGTGTCTGCACATTAATCAACAGGCTCTTTGCTCCTGAATGTCACCCCGGTTTTCCTGCTTATTCGCCGAAAATCACTTTAGATGCGTTACAATGCGAAACTTATTTAACTCAACTCAAACAATCTATCAGACTTTCTAAGACACGAAAAAATCGCTCTAGTCAAACATAAGCATCTATCCCCTTAGTCTGTCTTACAACGGGACCTGTTAATCGGGTCTTGCACTCCAAATCCGTCAGCCATCAATATCAGCTGTAAGAATAGCATACTTGTCGTCCAGTGGTTTTACCTATCACCGTTTCGTTCGCCGATGATTTGGAGAGGTGGGGTAGGTAGCTGCGCCCTGGAGGCGGAAGCTGATAAATCGACGCGTAAATACAGCGCTGTTAGTGGACTGTTAAGTGGGGGGAAGGATTGGGAAGGGAGCTATGAATTGAAGGTAATACCTTATATGCGCCATTTATGGGCCTTGTCTGACAACGTCTCTAACCATTGATGTTGCTCGTCTAGTGATCCCCATCCAGGAAGACGGTAGTAACCAGCGCAGCTGAGTTTGCTGGTAATAGCTTTCACACTTCTCTGCTAAGTCATTGTTCCATTTCCCCTGGCTCGTTTCCATCCTTCAAGCGACTTTTCGAAAAGAGAAATTATGTCGATCGGCATACGGAGCACGTGGCCAAACCGGCCCAACCTGTGGAGTGCTATCAGTTCACCTACTGTTCGTGAGTTCTTCCTTCCGAATACCATTCGACGTACTTAAGCATTGCTTGTCCGGTGTTCCCATCAGACTATGGAAACGCTCCGAAGACATCGATGATCAAAAATTGAGAAACTTTTAAGTTCCTCGGCGCAAAGCGTCCGCGTTTGACACCACTTGATATGATGAGTTGAGGAGAGAGCTTCTCGCAGACTTTCACAAGTCCGCCGAGTTAGCGCACAGTGCCTTAAGGAGAATCAAGAATTTATGGGGGGCACCTTTGCTCCACAGACACTGCCATGGTGCCTTACGGTCCACAGAGTAAAAGGCAGCTTTCACATCAAGGAACACAACCACTGTTGGTTGCTGGAAGCAGCGCCGCTATTCCAGAATCTGTCGGAGGACAAAGGTGTGACCGATGCATCCGTCTGTGGGACGGAACCCAGCTTGGTTTTCACGGATTTGTCTCTGCCTGTGTTCAGTTAACCTTAGAAGGATAAGGCCAGAGAGCACTTTCAATGCCACAATGGTTTTCACACAGCGTCCGCGTACCCATTTTGAAGATAGCGATAAATGTCGACACGCTCCATTCGGCACCCAGTGGTCTTGTGGTCGAATTGGAGAAGTCGGACGCCGCTAACACATTTCGTCACGTTTCATTCACATGCTCACTGCCACCACAATATTGGTTTACCGTGGAGAGTTGTTGGGCCAGCTCAGATCGATGCTGTTTAGCCATGTCACTTCTTCGAAGACAGTGGATTGGCATGCTTCTTGCCGACTTGCGAGGGTATGAAGGGAAACGAACTGTCAGGCATGCACACACACCATGGCGTGATCGAAATCAAGTGGTGTTCTCCAGAAGAAACGGCAGTCTGGAATTGTAGCTCTCCCGCGGTGGTTGATGGCCACGTGGTCCAACTACGTCCACGGTTGATTTGCAGTTGGTAGCCGCCAGGTTACGCGGTGCGAACGTTTATTCTGAAAGTTCGTACTTGGCAGAAACAGTTCATGGTCAGCATACAGTTGGAAAAATCGATCTCCGTTGTCTGTGCGGCGAGCATCGAGTTCGAATCGACCGCCCAGATGTGATTCCACGGAGCTCGGACGACCTCCTTGAGCATACATATCGCCCTCCAGCACCGGACTCTGCATTTTGTTGACGAATGAGCCCGGATAGCTCTCGCTTGAAAGTATCCTTCCCGCCTCAGAACTGCACTCTGTTGGGGCATAAGGCGACACTGCAAACAGGCACCGCTTTTAGGCTGAACGGCATTGAGCTTGATTGAACTGGATCACTTCCGGGTCACCGGACACACTAAGGTAGAAATGTGAAAGAGCTGAGTTCATCCTTGGGGTTTCGAGTTACATAATCACGCTCGGGTCCTGTATGCGTGTTGCGAAGACACAGCATACATCAATTTTAAGGGAGTACAAGCAGGCATTGCCCGTTTGCCAACTTGGCAGAATACGGATGTTAAAAGTTCTTATATAGAAAGCACCTTGTGGATTTAGAAGGGTGTTATTTTGTTTATTGTTAGTAGGCAACGGAGAGCATAAGGCCCTTCAGTGAGATAACTAACAGTCAAGTGACCCAGTGACATTTGCTTGTGTGGTGGGAGGGGGTTGGGGAGGGAAATCGGTGGACACCAAACTGCGCGGGCAAATGATACTTCCCGGTTGCCCAGGCAGAGGAAGGGGGTTTGGTTGAGGTACCCCACCTTGAGCCTTTGACTCAAAAGTGTGACCCACAAGGCAGTGGGGGCCTGGCCTCTGCGCCTGGTCTCTGACTCAGAAGTCTGACCGTGAAGCACCGGACAGTATGGAATTCTTTGTGGACTCTGCCCTGAACCGATGGCTCAGTAGCCTGACCTACCGCATTGAATAATGATAAAGCGGTCACGGTCAACCATTGAGCGATCGGTGTGTGTCATTCTTAGTATCGACTTTTTCTAACGCGTCCTTGATGTGGGGTAGGCAGCATCACTGCTTCCATGCGTACGTACCTGCTGCTCGTCTGAGGGATACACCTTATTACTTTCACAGAGGACATTATGAGACTTCCCCTTAACACGGTTACTTGTATTAAGGGGTCTCGCTGCTCTTAGTCCGACTGCTCCCCTTTGGCCTTCCTGGCATAATTGCAACTTGTGGAACCAGTTTCCATCCAGTGTAGCCCGCCGGATCATTGAACAACTCAAACCCGACCACCACGTCAAGAAGGCAGCTGTAAGTTGGTTTGCACTTCAAATTCTGGACTTCTAAGCAAGAGGCTACCTGCATCGTACCAGGGGAAACTTTAGAATCCGCTAGTCTTTCAGTCAGTTGAGGCGTAACAGCCCTTCGATTGGCTCTCACTTCGATAGCAGATAGCATTATTCATTCTTCAGTCAGAAGCAAAATGATTTCATAGGACAAACGTCGCCACTTGAGAAGCTAATCAATAAGTCAACACGTGATGTGGTTTCTGTCACGCCATATCCTCTCTGAGAGTTAATCACAAGGCTATCTAGTCACTCCTGACCACATGGTTGAAATTTTAGTACGTTTTTCACCATATCTGAACTTGTGGGAATTTGTGATGTTTTATTCTACACACAAAATCAGGCACTTCGGCCATATCCAACGTTTTCACGTTTACCCAAGACAAACTTCGTTCTGAATGCAAATCAGGATACCGTTGTTTCAAATTGGAAAATGTTAACTGCTCCGGTCAGAACAGATGTCTACGTTTCCAAAAGCCAACCAAATCATAAAGTGCTGCGTTGCATTTCTGTTCTCTTGTTACTGTTTATTTGGCGCTGACAATGCGGCGTTCCAAAACAAAAAATCACACTCGTTATCGTAACCAAATCAGCTGCATCGAATCGATTGGTCGGCTAGATTCTGAATCCGACGGCAACCAATGAAAATGTAGTCCACAGTTAACGAGCGTGGTAATGAAGACTGTCATCAACTAAACCTGTGCGAGATGAATAAGTGCGGAAAATTCATTTCTTTCAACCCATTCTTGATCTAGTCNCCACAGTTAACGAGCGTGGTAATGCAGACTGTCATCAACTAAACCTGTGCGAAATGAATAAGTGCGGAAAATTCGTTTCTTTCAACCCATTCTTGGTCTAGTCGGATTTTCAAGCCCTTCACTCCGGATGCACACTGCTATTGTCTTGGTGGTGAGTCTGAAAGCACGATTGTAAAAGCCTTGATTCATTTAAGATGCGAATTGATTATTTTATGCTCAGTGAACTGTGATAAAGCTACTTATTTACCGTTGATGGCCCCACACGTCAAGCATTTATTTCCACGATGTCAGTACTAGAATAGATGAAAATCTGAGCACGAACACCTACGTAGAAGATTGAGCTATGGTCCCATCCGATCTTGTCTGCGGATGTTCTCAAAGGGACGCAAGCATTCCGCGTGCTTTTTCGGTACCAAGGATAGTAACTAGAACGTACGGGAATCATAAGAACGTACGAAACAGCGGAGTTCATCGGGGTTAGTGGGGCAACCAATTATACAAAGTTTCGGCCAACTGCGCTACGGGATCCAAGGCAGCCTAACAGTCGTATCGATTCACTTTTGAATAGGAAGCGAAAGCTTCGATTGGTTTAATGAGACGGCATGTATGGAAAGAAAATAACTTGAATTTTTCAAGCGCCTTGTTGTCAGCTCCTCACGTGTATGTATTATAAATCACTTGTGATTAGCTTGTTCCGTTTATGCTTTGAAACTCACAGGGTACGCAATGTTTCGTTTAGTTTAAACAACGACGTAGGTATGTCAGATAATCTAAAAACTGTGTTGCACACTTGTCAGCTCCTCGTTCTCAGTCAGTGATTCTCAGAGGCTAGTCTAAACGATATGGTATTGACACCCCCGCGTTCTACACTTATTTATGTTGGATAGCAGAGAAACAATAAGCCCGTTCGACCTTTTTGAATTAGCCAATGTTTAACCTAAAGGATGAAATTTCACGTCGGTTTATTCGGCATTTAGATGACTATGGTAGTCACGTGACAACGTTAGTACTTTCATCAAAAGAGCAAAACTTCTGACTGGGGTTTCTTGGTCACCTAAGCATTGATGACGTCACTTCGGTTGATGATGAAACGTCTGAAAACAAATTGCCCATCTCAGCAAACAAACCGACGATTAACATTGTTCGTGTTGATCAGAGTAAACCAGGCAAAAAGAAGTGGGCGTACTCATTGCAGGAAAAGTCGACTTGTGAATATGGAAGGTCAATCCCTCCTCAGCTATAAAGTACAAGTTGAATCTTGGTTGGCTGATAGGTTGCAGCAGGCTGGATGGCTGTCTGACTAGATTATTGATCTTGAAAACCTTTTTTGTCCTCCAGATGGTGTCCGGTATTAGCGACACAAAGTTGTAAAAACTAAACTCGCTTCATTCAGACATATGGTCGTTCTCCAACCACAATAGATAATGTTTTTGCGGTGTACCGGTGGATGGAAATAGGCTACCAAGAAAAAATTCAAGTCCAGGTGGTGGTGACCCTCAAAAAATGCCACCAATTCACCATACATTTGTAGTATCACCTTAACTGGTAAGGAAAGTCGGCTGGCAGACAGAGCAACGGCCGTTTATACAAACCAATCTGTTGGTAGTTGGGAGTTTTTGTGGAAATTTCTTCCTGTTAGGGAAGGCAATCTAGTGTTTCTCTGCTTTAGAGCATAGATTTCCCTTCACTTGCAGGACGAAATCTCTTCACTTACAAAAACAAACCAGTCGTTTGGAATTCCTTCGAGCAGCAAGCTTATCAGAGTGTCTGAGTCTCAATGAAGTCGGATGTCTCCCCAGGCCGGGGCGGTTGAATACATCAATGATTGGACTTCCTGCATGGACTTCCCAATGGGCGAGATGGTTCAAGTGGTTAGAGCGCGAATCTATTGACCGGAAGGTCCATGGTTCGAATCCGACCTCCGCCTCTCGACTTCCCCTGTCTAGGCTTGGGCAACGTGGCAGTATCCCTCGTGCTTCCTACGGGTAGCATGGCAGCTAGGCACCAGAAGGGTGCTACACCTGAACGCTTTATGGGTTCTTGTATGAGAAACGCACTTGGTAAAATCGTTGGTCATAGATTGACAGTTCCGATGCCTGACACAAAAACTACTTGTTCATTACAGCGACACCACTAAAGCCCGATGTACTTTGGACATGCAATCTGACGAAATATTTGACACAGAAATACCAACCTGAGCATACAGGCAAAACAAAAGTCTGGTCTATCAACACTTCCCCTAATAGCACAAGTTTTTCTATGATTGTGCTGCACGAAAATTGTTCAATCTATTTACTGGGTTTTTACCGCCGGGGTTATAAGTCACAGCGAGATGAACTGCGTCGACGAGCGAGGAATCTGAACTTCACTGTTTATAAAAAAACAGAACTACTTTGTAAGACGTTTACTTCAGACGATCTTGTGGTGAACAACTTGAAACCAGATTCCCCCGATTTTTATCAGTAAACTCCTATGATTCCCGTTCCGAACACTCGGCCAGTCTGCGATGTGGCCCACCCTCCATGACCGATTCCTTGGGCATCTGGCTTCAAAAGAAGCGCAGGCTATCACCATGCGAAGGACATTCCATACAGTTGTTCTTGGGCTGACTGACTCATCTGATGTAGCTGCAGGTGCAAAACTGCTTTGTATGAAGAAAAAAAACAGATGTTTTGATGCGTCATCCCCTAAAAAACACAGTTGTTTCCAACCTGGAACAAATTATGAAAGGTTTACAGTCCGCTGATTCAGTGAAAGCAGTTTACCCCAATTTTTTTTCATAGTTTCCTTGTGCTAATTTTTGGAGGTGGCAGTCCGGACTTATGCATAGGTAGCTGAGTAAGGAAAGGCCTTGAGTACACCAGTCAACTTACTTTGGAGCTTTTCCAGATAAGCCCCACCAAGAAATTAATCCCCGTTATCCAAAAAAGATTAGAAAAAAGAGGTAATGAAAGTTGTACTTTCATTTTTCATTGAAGAGGGTGAAATTGGGACATGTCATTAATCATTTGCATGAAAAGGTCCGTTTTTCGGTACCTCTGCCTCCAAACGAACTCACACAAGTAGCTGTGTACCGGATTGGCATTTATTCTGTATCTTGCAGACGTACCAAAGAAATTCGACGAGTTGTGTGTTTGAGCTCCAGTCGTTGGATCCACAAAGTTTCTGGTATGATTAATTCATGTCAATCATCATCATCATCATCACCTGGGCTGCCAGAAACTGCTGGAGTCTGCAAAAGCCGAATGGCGCAAACTTCGCGAAGAAAGTTCCTCCAGTCCACAGCGGTCGTGTGGCTAACAGATAATGCCTCTGAGCAGAATTTGATTTTCGCCAAACTTTTGGACCAGCAATAAATGAACAGAATTACTGTCCCAAACTCCATCCTAGACCGCTCCAGCCAAGTTGCCTTTCGAAAACCGATTCCTTGCCGACACTGTCGGGCATTACACATCCCCCTATCAGAAACGTTGAAACTGTCATTTGGTGACCATTGTTACGTAGGCGTTGCTGATGGATCACTCTGTGGTTTTGCAAAAAAACGTATTGCCATCTCCTTGTTATGAACCGGAGTTGAATTTGAAAGCGGCAGAATGTTCATTTGAGGTCTTACGTCCAAACGCGGAAAATGTTTGCATAAAATGAGCCTAGACGAGTGGAGTCAGTGAGTTAACTAATTCAGTTACGCGAACTAAACATATTCAATCGGTCTGAAACCGCGATTCTTCGGAATCGGGTCAAACAAAGGGTATCCTAATCATGAAAAACCTGACAGGAGTGACTCCTGCTTCACTTTCGACTTCTATTTCAAGCCTTTCACTCAGAGTTCCTGAGTTGCATGCAAACTTGCTACATATACTACTTAAGTAAACAGAACCTACCCAGACCCATGGCAAATCGACTAAACTCTCTTACAACGAACTTCTAGACACTTGAGAAATGGCTGTTTTTGGTCACGAAACAGGTGTACATTGCACAACACAACTGAGCTTGGAACAATTGTTTACCTAGGAATACACAGGTCTATTCATTTTTCTAATTCGGAGGGCCAAAATGAGATCTGCTGTCGAGGAAAATGTGGCAGCTCAGGTAACGTAGGCGTGCATTGGTTTGTTCGCTCAGCTGCTAAATTTGGTTATCGAGGCTGTGGTATGGGATCAGTATGTCTACCACAGATAGTTATCACTTTCCAAAAAATTTCACCATATCATAAAATAAAAGCTAAAAATCTGTCCCTCTTGTAACACTTCCACAACAAAATAACCTGTCTGGCATCGACAAACCCAAAACTGTTCCATTTCTGACTTGGTTGTTGTGAGATGCAATGAACTTCACTCATTTGTACGTCTCCAAAAACTGGGTGTGTGTGTGTGGAAAACCTCTGAGCAAATTTGGACAGCGTTTTGGTACAGCAATGACGTGATGCCAGGAGTCACCGAACTGGGTCAAGAGTGATTAGGTGAAAAAACAGGTCGACCGAATCAGGGGGAATTTGATAACTGAACCAATGATACCTACAGCATGCTAAGGGAACATGGCAGACAGTGCACATTTTCGTGTTCGTCTACAGCAACTGGACAGGCCAGAGTGTGTTTCTGTGCCTGTAGTGACAGTGGTGCGATATATCTGATCTGGTTGAAGCATGACCTTTAATCCGGGATAATCCATACGGAGGGGGGGCGAAAAGGTGAGTTTGTAAGAGTCAGACAATGTCAAAAGTTGGAATGACACTTTCCTGCGGACGGGCATATCAAGCTCCGTGTTACAACCTGGTAAAATTGTTGGCTTTCGATCCGGACCGAACCTAAAAACGAGAAAGTCGCCTTTCTTAAAATGTGTAGGTGAACAGCTCAGGGGTCAAGTTAGGATTCCCTGTCTAGGTTTTGGCAACCTGGCAGTATCCCAGCCCTCGTGCTTCCTTCGGGTGGCATGGCAACTAGGCACCGAAAGGGTATTACAGCTGAACACAAGAAAGAAGTTAAGATTGAAGGGCGAGCCTTGCAGGTATTTGAAATACGTGGTCACCAGTCCATTCACCCGAATGTAACAGAGTTCTTCGGGAAACCCAAGGACGTACTATTCTGTATTTTGTTCATATTCATACCACCTTCGTTTGGATGGTCGTCTTCTTGTTCTGGCGTAATTATTCTG